GAAGGCCATGCCTGCCCACCCTGCCGCACGGGAGAGGCGCGAGGCCAGCACCCTCCCGGGGCCAGCACCCTCCCAGGCTCAGCAGGGGCCACTCTGTGCTCCAGAGGCTCCTCTGCCTCCCGGGGAGCAGCTGCCGAGGTCCCAGCTCCCGCGGGACCCAGGGGAGTGACGGGGCTCTGTGGGGCCCTGCCCGTCGGCTCTGAGGCCCTGCGCTGGAGGAGGGGGGCTGGGGCACCGCGGAGAGCAGGGGAGGGGATGGAGCAGCGGCCTCCTGGCCCCCGCAGGGCCGCGCGTGCTCTCCCCAGGAGCCTCACAGGGGCCTCTCGGAGGCCATCATCACGTCCACATGCCAGAGGCAGCCACCCAGGCCCAGAGAGGTTACAGGGCTCCCTGAGGTCACCCAGCACCACAGAGCTGGGGGGAGGGGCAGGTGGGAGCCAGGGCATGGCCGGACGCACCCCCGTGGCCCTCACGGATGCTGGTGTCACGGGTGCTGATCTTGGGGCTCCCCACCTGCAGATGGAGGGACCTGGGGTGGGGGCACCCGTCTCTGACAGTGGGGGTCCCACCCAAGGCCCCGTGAGGGCGCCCTTTAAGGAGCAGCCCACTGCCCACCCCGGGACGCTCCCCGCGAAGACTGTCCACGGGGCGGGAGGTGGAGGAGACGGGCAGCAGGTCAGCAGGGGCCATCCCATTTAATCCCCCCAGGAGGGAGGACAGCGCGTGGACGCCCCTGCAGACAGGGCACACCCGAGGACGAGGATCCCACCTGGGTCAGAGAAGGGGGCAGCCCTGGCAGGGGCAGAGCCTGCCACCTGTACCCCGGGACCCCCGGGACTCAGTGTCCACGTTGCCAGGGCCCAGCGGTCACATCAGCGACTTCCAAGGCCTCTGAAGTCTCCGGCGTCCCCGCCCTCCTCCTCGTTCTCCTTCACCCTCTGCACCTGCACCACCCACGGTGACGGCCACCTGTCACCCAGCACGGGGCACCCAGACCCAGTGGAACTGGCTCTTAATGGCACCATGGCTGGTGCTAGCCCGTGTCCCCGTGTCACCACGCTGTCCCCGACGGCACCTCACCTGCTTCCCCTTCCTGCCACCGAGTCCTCGACAGAGCACCGCGCACGCCTCTCTGCGCACATGTCTCCACCGGCCCAGCCTGACCCAGGTGTCCCAGGCAGCCCCAGAGCTGAGGCCGGTCCCCGTGCGGCCGGGTCTCGCTGGGGCCGGGTCTGGTGTGGGTGGTGCCCTGGTGGAGGGCAGTGCCTCCTGGTGAGTGGGGCTTCCCTCCCGCAGACTGGGTGAGTCCCGTGGGATCCGGTGGCTCTGGCGAGGCCACCCCTACGCTGAGCGTCTCTCCCTCGGCTCTGGCTCCGCTTTCTGCCGTGAGTGGAAGCAGCACAAGGCGCTCAGCAGACACAGCCGCCCTGTCTTGGACAGGCTTCCAGCCTCCAGAGCCAGGCGTCCAAGTAAACCTTTTTCCTGCACAAATTACCCCGTCTCGGGGATTCTATTGTAGCAACAGAAAACAGACTAAGATAATCACAGACTGAAAATGGCCCCATCGTCTTCCCCTTCCTCTTTCCCTGGTCTGGACCTTTCCCTCCCACACTGACGGAGCTCAGCCGTGTAACCTGCTCAGTGTGAGGCCAGCAGGGGCTTAGAAAGCCCTAAGTACCTGGGTTCGTACCCAGACTGCATGTGGGACACGGAGGCCACCAAGTAAATGAGCCCCAGCCAGCCAGTTGGAGAGGGACACCAGGTGTTCCTCTCGGCAGACACATGAGCAAGGCCATCCTAGGTCATGCCACCACCAGCCAACCTGCCAGCGAGCCCCGGGGCGTGAGAAAGCCCTGCACAGAGGGGCCATGCTCAGCCAGACCCTGGACGTCCCAGGCAGCCCCAGAATGGCCAGCTAAAGACACCACCGTGACTCGACGCCCCCAAGATTTGGGCTTCTTTGTTACATAGCACAAGCTGACTGTTGGAGCCCAGCATGGAACATGAGGACCACCAGGGACGTGGCGTCTCCGGTAATGTGTTTGGTGAGGGCTGCCACAGCCAAACCCGACCGAGAGCCGGACCTGCTCCAGAGGAATAAGCCAGTCCTGACAGGAGGCAGGGTCCAGCCGGGACCAGTACGGCCCCCGATTTGACCCAGTGTGGTCTCCCTGCTGCGGCAGGCAGGCGGCGCAGTGACAGGTTGACCTCTGATAAACCGCGCACGCGGGTCTGACGCTACAGCAGACCCTGCAACCCGCTTTTTGTCTTTTTCTGGAAGTCCTGAGGAGGTCCCTACGCGGGCCAGACCGCTCAGCACGGAGCCCACCCGCCCCCTGAAGCCGGATTTCCGAGGGGTGGGGAGGGTGGGCGTCCACGCCAAAGGTGGAGGTTCAGCCTCATTTGGCTCCCAGGCCACCCGGCCAGGCTGGGGGGACGAGACGGGCGGCTGGTGTGTGGCAGGGTCGGGACTCCCGCCAGGCCAGCGCCTCTGACCCCCGCCCAGCGCCTCCCAGCGCCACACACCCCATGGGGTGCCACTGGCCGTACCTGTGCTTCTGTCCACTTCTCCCGCGGAGCTGGTGCCAGGACCCCGGTCGGCAGCGGGAGAGGGCCCGCAGTCTGCTCCGCAGAGCCCACGGCAGAGGGCCGCCCAGCGCCTGACCTCGATAGGCCCCTGGCTGAGTGCAGAGGGATAATCAGCCGCTGGACGGGTGCCCTCCTGGGCGGGGCGCGTCCCCGTCCTCCAGGCTCATCTGCGCGGGCAGGGGACTGGTGTGGTGCCGCAGTGGACACAGCTGGCAACAGCTTCCCGCCTGATTAAGTCCCCCGCTCCTTGGAGGGACCTGGAGATGGGGCTGCAGCTGGGCCACGTGTTTCCGGGTCTCTCTGGGCAGGACCCCCTGGGCAGCAGCCCGGGGCGCCCACTCCCGCTGCACTCGCCGTCCCTGCTGTCGGCTGTCTATTGCCCACAGATGGGGCCTCCAGGAGGACAGGGACTCTGCCCCCGTGTCCACTCCCTAGAGGAGCCCCTAGGTGAGCCCCCATAAGATGATCTTGAGCCGCAGGACCCTCTGGTCATGGGGGTGGACAGGCCAGGGTCCATCGCCCCATTTTGCCAATAGGAGAAAATGACGCTCAAAAAATGCCACTTGTCTGACGTCACAGATCAAGCCGCCGCCACCAGGGACCCCTGGCCAGGGCTCACCAGATGTCCAGGGCCTGGGCTCTGCAGCAGGTGCTGCACTGGGCAGAGGGCATGGAGAGGAGCCAGCTCTCCCAGGAGTCTTCGGTCCCTCAGGGGAAGGGCAGATGTCATCGTGAACAATGTGACTGGAAACCAGAACATGGGGCCCTGGAGAAGAGCTCACAGTGGCTGGGCCCAGGCTGAGCAAGCGCATTCGGGCTGAACCCAGAAGCTGGAACTAACCAGCTGAGGGTGGGCTGCAGGCAGCCTGTGCAAAGGCCCTGAGGCCAGCCCTCAGGGAGCCTCTGAGGCAGTGGAGGATTCTCAGAGTGGCTGGGTCCAGGAGAGGGTCCAGCCCAGAGCAAACTCTGTGGGTTCTATGGACCACACCCGGAGGCTCGAGGGACAGGGCCCTTGAGGGGTCTGGGTGGAGTGCTGTCCCCAGGTCCCCCAGCCTCCCTCTGGCCACTCCTGTCCTCCCGGAGGGCTGTGGGGCATGGAAGCACTTGGGCACTTCTCCTCCAACATCCAGACCAGATGCGGAGGCTGCCTCACGGCCCGGCGGAGCCTGGAACGCTGGGAATCCGTTTCCGGTGGCTCTGCCCCCGTGAGGGCAGCGGCACCGCAGGGCCTCACAGGGTGGCCTCGGGGAAGGGCGGGTCTGGGACACAGTTGGTTCTCAGGGATCAGCCACGGGCTGGGCGCCCCGGGCAGGGCCCCACGAGGAGGGCACAGCCTCCCCCGGAGGTTAGACGCGCGGCGCCTCCTCCATCCCCCCGCAGAGACCGCCTGAGCTCCCGCAGGGCGTCGACGTCCTCCCCCACGTCCACGTCCACCCTGAAAGTCCAACGTGGCCTCATTTTGAAATGGAGTCTTGGCAGATGTCATTCCTTAAGACGAGGATTAGGATCGGCCTTGAATCCAGGGACGGGGTCAGATACGAGGCCACTGAGAGGCACAGCGACGCCTGCAGGAGGGGGTGGGGGACACAGCTGCCCATCCCAAGGGCCGCCGGCGGGAAGGACGCTGCCCGGAGCCCTGGGGGCCAGCCCAGCCCTTGCCTGGACTCTGTCCTCCAGCACGGGGAGGTGGCTGGTGGCCGGCGTCACGGTCACCTAGAAAGGACTCCAGCTCCAGCCCAGCTCCTGACCCCGGGGAGACCTCGAATCCCGTGACAGGAGCCCAGACATGGGGTTTGCTGCTTCAGGGCCACCCGGTCACTCGATGTGACCTACTGGGATCCCACAGCAGCCCTCGGGGGGCAGGTCATCGCCCATCTTAGGGGGAGGGACCCGACAGCATCACAGCGGGCAGGGAGGGTAGTGGGGAGGGCTTGGCCCCCAGAGCTGCTGGCTGGGACCAGGCCGTCCCCTTCTCCTTGCGGCCTCCCACCTCTGTCCCCTCCTCCGTCACCTCTGGGGGGATGGCAGCTCTGAGCTGGCCCCACGACCAGGGTTAGGGTCTGGGGGCCTGGGGACAGGTGGGTCAGGCTGTCCCAAGAGGCTTCCGGGAGGGGAGACCCAGGGCCACAGTGTGCGACAGGGTTCTGAGGGGTGGACAGGCGCAGGCCTGGGTGGGGGGGAGCGGTGTGGGGCTGGACGTGGGGAGAATCCTCTGGAGCTTTGCGAGTGCTGGGGAAAGGCACGCCAAGATGGGGCCGAGGTCAAGGGAATGACCCAGTCCAACGGGCCACTGTGCTGACCCCAAGAGCAATTCCCTGCAGCCCTGCTGGCCTAGGTGGACGGGGACGTCACGGTCCTTGGCAAACTACTGGTTATCCACAGGGAAACGCAGGCAGCGGGAGCCCTGGGTCGAGGGACCCGAGCGACACCGAGGGGGAGACTTCAGGGACCAGGCTCCGGCAGGTAAGGAGGGTCCCTCCCGACCACAAAACCTGTGACACGCCGAAGAATCCAGTTAGGACCAGTGGGCAGGGGCCAGGGGATCTAGAGTGGCCATGGCAGTGGGGACCTCAGGGTCAGATGTCACCTGCTGTCAGTCAGAAGTCAAGAGGTGGGCCTGGGTGGGACTCTCTGGAACCTTCTCTGGGATCCCCAGTAAACTGGGGTGCAGGGGACGCACCTTGTCCCTCTCCTCTCTGAGAGGACCCTCTGTCCCTTTTCCTGCCCCTCGTCAGCTCCTGCCTCTTGCTCTGAGCGTGTCTGAACCCTCCTCACCTGACCGCAGGAACTGGGGCGTGGGGGGGCCTCTGAGCTGCCTCCCCTGTCCACATTCGCCAGGCCGCTGGGAACACAGGCTGCAGTGTCCCCCTCTGCACCCACCGTCCCCCTGAGCCAGGGGGTGGGGCTGTGAGGACGTGCTGGCCGGTGGGCAAGCGGCTCAGGCAGAGTCGGGGGCGTGCTCAGGAGGGGCCTGGGGCTCCGTCAGTGGCCCAGTTAAAGCTGGGTCTGGACCTGCCAGCTGCCCAGGGGCAGATGGGCTGGGGCCTGGGGACACTCAGCCTCACACTCCAGTCAGCCAGGTGGGGTGTAGCCCGGTGGATCCCAGGTGCCTCTGGGGCCAAGAGATGGCCCAGGACAGCCCAGAGCTCCACGGATCCCCCGTGACCTGGAGGTCTCCGAGCTGGGCCCCTCCCTTGGAGCTGAGACCCTGTCCAGGGCGGGCCGCGCTGTCCCTCCTAAGTGAACGTCCCCGGGTTAGAGTCCTCGGGAGGACGGTGGTGCCCTAAAGAGGCTTCGATTCAAGCTTCACCTCGTTTAAGAATCATCGGGCACAGAGAGCAGGAGCCCGGGGGGGAGGCCAAAGAGGGTCCTGGAGGCCGCGGCTGCTCTGCAGAACAGAGGACGCTGCACTGTGCAGACACAGGGGCAGGTGGGAAATGGGATCTGAAACACAAAGGACCTCAGCAGGTGGAGGGTCAGCGGCCCGTCAGCCAGGGAGCAGAGGGTCAGAGCAGCCCCGAACGGGCAAGAGCATGGCATCAGGCAGAAGCAACATCTGAAAAGACTCTCCAAGAATTTTTCGGATTTGATGACGGCACCAGGTCGAGATCGGAGAACATGAGGAGCTCCGACGGCACACAGGTGCGTCCTGGAGACTGCCCCAAACCAAAGACAGAGAGAGGCTCACCCAGCCAGAGAAGGACCACGCAGAGCAACGCGTCCAGCCGACCCCCCAGGACGCACAAGGATTTGTCAATTAAAAACTTTGAAAATAAAACCAGAAAGTAAAATAATCTCCACCTAGAATCATGTACCTTACAGAAAAATTCTCCAAAATCAAAGGAAACACAAATATTTTCAGACAACAAAAAGGGGGAGGCCGGGTAATTCACTGATGGTGGAACTTGTAGAAGACCCTGCTGTGGACGAAATGGCGCAGGTGGAAGGGACTTCCAAGACTTGTCAGCGTGGGGGATGCAGAGCCAGAGGAGGGGACAAAGGGGACAAAGAGCAGCCCGGGACCAAGGACGCTCCAGGGCACAGAGACTGCTGCTCGACTGATGTCGGCATTTTCTATGAAGTGGCGACAGGACGGCAGTGGGAAACGCAGGCTGTGATCTCCAGGGCAACCACTAACAGGAAATAAAGGTCGTGGAGCCAACGAGCCGGCAGACGCCGAAACGGTAAAGTAAGAAATGTCTAACGTTCCAAAAATAGTCACAGACCAGGAGGGACAGACAGAAAAGCAACACTCGTATTGGAAGCCAGAAAGCACCTGGCTCAAGCTTAATGGGCTTTTAAACCCCAGCTGCACGGGGCGCAGGAGACATCTGACCCGAACGCACTTGAGAGATGGAAATCACAAACCCCACCAAGAGAGAGGAGGCTTCGCTGCATCCCCCAGGCCCAGGGGACTTGAAGGCAGAATCGTAAAGAGAGTTGTAGAGGGACTCTTTGTCACGATCAATTTTCCATTAGCAAGAAGGCAAACCCACTCTAAATTCAGAGGGAACCAACAGCGACATCTCCAATAAAGCAAAAAACAGAACTCAAAAGAGACAGCAGCAATCGTCCTGAAGATAAATGCTACTCTGACTTAG